GTGTGTGTGTGTGTGTGTGTGTGTGTGTGTGTGTGTGTGTATTTGTGCGTGCGTGCGCGCGCGCGTATGTGTGTGCGTGCGCGCGTGTGTGTGTGCATGTATGTGTGTGTGTTTTTAGAATGGGTGTGCGTGTGAAGAAGTTGGGACAGTAAGATGGCTGCCTATCTCCTTACACGAACGTTGTGTCTGTTTGCGTGCGTGTGTGCGTGCGTGTGCGTGCGTGGCCTGCCTATTTTCGGAAGCAAACCGGATAAAGTTTAATAACAGGACAAATCTACGAAATCTCAGATTTCCTCCCTCCTATCATTAATCCCCTTTCGCACTGCGTCCTGCATTCACGTCTTGGCTATACGTTCACTCTTCATACCACGTCAACGTAGAAAGCTGTAATGTACAAAACTCGGCTGCTATCGTGGTTTGATTTGTAGTTTATGTGTGATAACCGATTGCACGCCTAAGGGCTCCCAATAATGCCACACCCAGAAGTACAACCCTCACTGCTTAGTGCTTAGTCTGTTCCTTCGCTGATCAGATGCGCATCTTTTTCGGACGTTAGACTGACACTTAGTCGAGGGAATTGTTAGAAAGAGACGGAGGGAGCCCCAACACTAATCAAATCGACAGATTAGTAGAAAAATGCTTCTAAAGGGCTTCCGTTTTACGATCGTTACCATTGGTAACCGGCTTGTCTGTTTCTTCTTGTCTTGCAGTGGAGGCTTGAGTAACACGCTCTACCTATGCAGCCTGCCCAGCAGTACGGTCATCCTGAACAACGAACCTAGGCAGGTAGGTGTTAGAGAGGACGAGTGGTGTGCGGTGAACCTCGGAGAATGCCGCACGATAAAACGATGTGCTATTGTGAGGCATCTTCATTGCTCTCCATTTTTACAAACAGTTAGTTAGTCAGTCGCTTGCATTGCGTGATGTAGTCGTATATATATATATATATATAGATACATAGATAGATAGATAGATAGATAGATATAATATATATACATATAGTATAGGAATTTACGATGTCTACGGCGATGTGTTGTGCATGGCGGTGGCGAGGTCATCACATTCCTGCTGCTGCTGCTGCTGCTGCTGTACTGCTGCTACTGCTGCTGCTGCTGCTACTGCTGTTGCTGTTGCTGCTGTGCTGCTGCTGCTACTNGTCATTTTTCTTGAGTAAAATAACTCACGTGTGCGCCGGGCATTAACGCCAAGTTGTTGTCGTCCTCGCCGCGCGTACGCGGTCGAAACTCACCGCGAGTCAGCGTCGTCATCATTGTTTCAGTCGCATTGCGACGTGTCTCAGTATGTTATAAGAGCGCGTATGTAAATAATGGAGATCCCATTGCTCATGCTCAATGTAGTGGGGGTAGGCTTGCCACATGGGGGACGTGCGTCATACGTCATCATTGTCATCGTTGTTTCAGTCACGTTGCCTGCACGTCGGTGAGCTCGGCGATCCGGCAATATCGGCCGTAATCGCGAAGAAGATGGCCGCCGTCCATCAGCTGCAGCTGCCCATCAGCAAGACGCCCGGCTGGATATTCGACATGACGAGCAGGTACGCTCGTTAGACAGGTAGACGAGTTAAGCAGGTGATGAACAGGTATGCTCGTTAGACAGGTAGACGAGTGCTGCAGGTGACGGACAGGTATGAATGCTAGACAGGTAGACGAGTGAGGCAGGTGAACAAGAAAAAAGATACATCAGGTAAATAGGTAAACAGGTATGCTTGCTAGACAGATAGATGAGTGAAGCAGGTGAATGGTTAAATATCTATGAGAGATAAATAGGTAAGCAGATATGCCTGCTAGATAGGTAAATATTTGTGTCAAATGAGCAGGTAAATGGACATGGTAGGTAAACTGGTAAATATATTTGCTAGATAGGCAGGTAAGTAGGTATGTCAGGTAGACAGGTAAATAAACACATCTACTCAACAAGTATCAAGTAAATAGATACGTTGGCTAAACATCTAGGCGGACATATCAGTTGGGCGGGGTACACTTAATTTTATCACTCGCTATATTACACCTGGTGACATATGTACATAGAGTGACAACCACCAGGCTCTCTACGCTCTACCTCGATCACTCCCTGGCAGCCACAGTGCAGCCATCACCCTGCACCGCTAGGCGCTAGGCAGATACGAACAATCACCGCCGCGAAAGTATTAACCAGCGAATCGAGGATAGTTTGGGACTCCGCAAACGTGTTTTCGCACGTGTGCTATGCCTATCCGGGGTGCTAGACTAGGCATGGGGCTTATAACCTGCTCAGGTGTTAGCCGCTCAAGGTCGACATGCCAGACTGATGAGAGGAGCATCTGAGAGAGCGCGATCTGGGTCAGGCGTCGTCGCTGTGTCGACGCGTCCGTCCCGCACACAGACAAGGTCGGACCCCCCCCCCCCAAGCCTCGCTCTCGTGTGTCTGTCTGTCGTCGCTAGTTGCTGAGCGACCCGCACGTCGCGTCCATCCTGCACACAGACGAGGTCGATCTATGATTGGCCATCGTACTCGGAAATAATCATTATTAACCGCGGTAGAAATGATTTAACCGCGGTAAAATTATTGCCCTTTTGTGCCCAATCAGAGGCCTTGTTTCACGTAATTTAACCGCGGTTAAATGATCGCCTTGTACAATGCGGGTTCCGATCACTGCAATGCTTCGCGTCATTACGTCCCGTACTACAACGTGTGTTCTCCGTCTTTCCCACCTGACAGGTGGCTCCACCACGTGAGAGCGAACAGTGAGCATCTGACGGCGCACACGAGCAAGCGCGACAACGCGGTCCTGCAGACGCTGCTGGAGTGCGACATCGAGGGAGAGCTGCAGTACTTACAGTGAGTTTACATACGGTGGGGCTGTGTGTTGTATAGTGTCAGACATTTGACCTGCATTTATGCGGCATCGTTACGAGAGTATACATAAAACATGAAAAACCTATTGTTATTTGTTACCATCATTTATTTACCATAGTTTGATTATCGATGCGGACCGTGGTTGCTATGATGCTGCTCCTGCTGCGTGGGCACACAATGCACGCTGGTAAACACTATATAGAACGTCTGTAATTTCCCGCGCATCTACGCGGCGGTTGGCACTTTGCCAGATTGATCCGGCTCCTCGTGATCCTCCACACTCTGACTCGTCTACTCTGAGCGTTTGTTGAAATCGCACGCGCCTTATTGATTGGCCCCCCTCCTCCCTGCCACCACTGTGCCCCTGCTCACTTGTCGTTGTCGTCACGCGCAAGTGCTGCTGCGGTTCTAACCGACGTATGGCGCCCCCTGCCACTGCTCAGATGTTCACTTGTTGTTGTTGTCATGCGCAGGTGCTGCTGCGGTTCTAACCGATGTGTGGCGCCCCCTGCCACTGCTCAGATGCTCACTTGTCGTTGTTGTCGCGCGCAGGTGCTGCTGCGGTTCTAACTGACGTTTGGCGCCCCCTGCTACTGCTCAGATGTTCACTTGTCGTTGTCGTCGCGCGCAGGTGCTGCTGCGGATCTTCGGAGAGGTCCTTGAGGATGACCGGGAAGCCAAGCTGCACGAGAGCGTCATCTTCACGATCCTCTCTGAGCGCAAACTCGGCCCGCGGCTGTACGGCGTGTTCGCTCGCGGCCGGCTCGAGGAATGCATACAGGTAGGTGGCGCCACCGCCTCGCGGTCGTTGCGGCGCCCCCTGGTGGACGGCAAGGGGAATGTGAGGAAGGGACGGGCAAGAGCTGCAGATTTTGTGTACCGGTGGTCGTACAGCTAAGCGAAAACCAAGAAATTTCCAGTGTAATATACGTCCTCGCTTATAGTAAACCTTCCCCTCTCTACATTACGCATGGGTTAGGACCGCGTATAGTGCATTGTTCGAGGGCATGGTTATTCGACCTTTATTGCATAAGTTCAGAAAGGGGACCAATCTACGTTATTGTCGACGCGAATTTCGCACTTCACACTTACTTAAATTATATAAATAATGTAAATCCTTTTGCTAATGCACCATATAGAGGGGGAAGCTTGCCACGGGGGGGGTACATATGTCATGCTGCATCGCGCGGGGTGACGTCATCGTCGAGTGTCTCCCGTTCACTCGTTCACGGTCCAACTTAAGCCCGGCGCACT